TGGTGTGACCATCGTATAGTATAAGCTTATACAGCAGGATCCCTTTATACATCAAAATGATGTATAACTTAATCCGGCCTAGGAGTGGTGGATAAGGCCTGATAAGGGGTTGATGTATTAATATTGCTTACAAGTACAATTTCCAAGAACTTATATATCATTTTAATATATATATATATATATTAAAATAAATTTTTTTAATATATTAATTTTTAAAATATTAGAGGATATTATCTTTATACAATATCATACCAAACGCTGGATAGTATTAAAATTTAATCAGGTCTTATACTATCCGGCTTTATCCTATATTATGCACCAAACATGCCCTAGGGATAGGATATTGTGACAACCAAGTTATGTTACAACCATGTGACTACTAGTCAATCTCACCGTTAAATTGGTCTTTTAATCCAAGGATCCTGATTTAATCCTTATATACACCCTCACTTTCCCTTCTCTCTCCCCCTTTCTCTCTGATCATACTCTCTCTCTTACCAGTCATACTCTCTGCCGCCGCCCATAGCCGCCGTCGCGCGGCAGCCCACTCCACCGCATCGCATGGTTAAAAAATCAATTTAACGGTGAGATTGACTGGTAGTCACATGGTTGTAACATAACTTGATTGCCACAATATCCTATCCCATGAAACTATCGGGAAAATAATCTAAAAAAAAGAAAAGAAAAGAAGCATTCTCTATAGCATAGTTTTTGACAATTTAAAGTGGAAGTTATGAGATGAACGTTGAAAGTGGAAATTATCTGAGAGCACTCCACATACTTCTTGCCGGAAAGAAGGGAAATGCAATATCACATTATGTAAAGTCATACAAAAATAACCGAGTTTAGTAATTATGATTCACATTTATATATAAAATTAAAGCATATTCTCTTGAGAGTGTTTAACGTTTTAGTATATTTTTCTTTAAAACATAGCAATATCATTTTCATTTTTTTTCTTTTAAAATTTAAAGTCAAATTCTTTTGAATTAATGATTTACATATTTTTTTAGGAATATGATATTGTGACACCCAAGTTATGTTACACCCATGTGACACCCAGTCAATCTCACCGTTAGATCGCTTATGTTGATCCAACGGTTATATTTATTTCCATCTTTGTATGGTCATGATTTTCCAAATTTAAAGTGAAAACATTAAATATGGGAAATCATAACCATACAAAGATAGAAATAAATATAAAATATTAAATTTGAGAAATCATGACCATACAAAGATGGAAATAAATATAACCGTTGGATCAACATAAGCGATCTAACGGTGAGATTGTCTGGGTGTCACATGGGTGTAACATAACTTGAGTGTCACAATATCCTATCCCATTTTGTTATAGTTTATGTTAACTACCGAGAAATGATGTGCAATACACGTTACAATACATGTTCATATATTTGTTTTTTTTTTATATTATCCCCTCTCTCGATAATTTTATAGGTTTTCTATGAACTAATTTGGAGTTTGGAACAGGTCCAGAATTAATGAACACATATTCTTATCTAACCTATTCAGCTTCCGGGGATCTACCTCATTTGTTCCGTAATACTTAACTATATATTTGTTCCTTACAATACACGTCAATTAAGGGATTTTCAATTCATCGGACTGGTAGTTGGAATCTTCCTTCTGCTCTAAATTGTCTAAAATTGAACGTGAAAGGAAGTTCAACTTTTTTTTTTTTTTTTTGGGTATCGTCAACCCATTTTTTTTTATTATATGATTCTAATTATCAGTTAGGGGCGACTTAAATCTCCCAAAATTTATATTATGGGTTGAGCCAACCTATGGCTATGGCGTTGGTCAACCAAAAATTTAGTTGGGTGCATTTGTTGAGTATTTGACGAAGGGGTTTTTCAACGTCGTGATTTACAACGAACTTCCCTATGTTGCTGGAATTCAATATAGCGAACGGTCAATTGATTTGATCTGTTTTTTCTATATATTTTTTTAAATTCAAGATCGGTTACCAACCAAAGAGCATCAATTTCCAAAGGTTACTTTTTATTTTTATAAGCTACTTGTAGACTGATAGATAGGGTGATCTTGTTACCGTTATTATTATTATTATTATTAATAAGCTTTAATTTTCTATAGAGAATGTAGATAATTTATTTAGATTTACTTCCAAAACAACATTGTTTTGAGTTGAAAAATTAAAAAAAAAAATATGTACAAAAAAAAATAAAAAATAAAAAAATTATAATGAGAAAGATTATTATAACTCTGAAATAAATTATAATTACAAAAATACCTTGATTTTCGCCTTAAAATGAAGTTATTTTAGACTCAATGTAGATAATTAATTTACATTGACTGCAGAAAAAGTGAATCATTGTTAACACAATTATTACTCTTATGAAAATTTTAGAATAAACATTGATTCATGTGAATCTAACAATTATATCTCATTAGATCATACTCATTATTTAATTATTAATTTTTAAAAATCATAATTGTTAGATACACGAAATTCAACTACTAAAATTTAGAGTAAAACTTAATATTTTTACGTGGATATAAATTGCCCTTATTATTATTATTATTATCATTATTATTTCTCAGCAAAACTTTTCCTTAATGGCTTGATAGGGTTTTTGGAGATATTATTATTATTATTATTATTATACTACTACGACGATAACATTTCTTTGAATATCTCTTCTTGGTATCATGACTACCACTATTATTACTTTGCCTACTATTGCGGCCTGGACCATATCTACGCCATGATGATGCCCTTACTTCAGAAAAGAGCCAATTGTCGACCCTGATTAATAGATTATTATTTTGTTCAGCCACAGTAATACATGAAATTAGTTTATAATGTTTTCTAAAATCTTTTCTCGACCACATTAGTTTAAGGATTTTGTTAATTTCATGTTAAAAGAGATAAGTTATTTCATGTCATAGAGACAAATTTGTGAGCTCTACCATCTAAAAAAAAAGATGACACAGTATCGAAAGATGCGTAAATTTTTTTTTTTATCTCATGTAAAATAAGAATAATTTTTCCTTTAGTTTAATTGTACATTCAAGATATAAAACCAATAAAGTGTTTTCTCTTGCATATATTATTCTTGACTGAAAACTATCTGGGGACAATACAAAGAGCAATGGAGTCACATAACAATTTTTATTGATGTTAGATATATGATGAAATAACGCATAGGATAGGACTAATTTTTTTTGTGAAATACAGAGTTAGAACAACTCAGAATTAATTACAATACTTTTTGTATTTTGTTATGTTTTGGGCATTAATTAGTTATACTATTTGAATAATCAAAGCACTTTCTTTTTGTGGTTTTCCTTATTTTTCAAGGAATCAAACATAATGAACATTCATGTAGTTTTTTAAAAAATAACAAAATTAATATAAGATAAACTATATCAATTAAGAATATTTATCAATAATATATTAATGAATAAAATACAAATGGAATCTTCAAATTAATTAAGTCATTACTCAAATGATAGAAATGCTGATCCGATAATCTGTTTAAAAAAATAATAATAAATACCTTAATCAATAAATATCAAATGTGTTTTAAGGCACGAAAAGATATTTTGAATTCAGAGGTGGGATAACTAGAACCAAATAAAATAAAAAAATAAATACAAATTTTCATATAAATGAATTTCAGTTAAATATAAGTTTTTATTATTTATAATTAATTCTCAATCAAATCAAGATCAAGTAAAATTTTATAGACATCTGTCTTTTAATAAATATTCATAACACGCTATTCTTTTAAATTTAAATAATTCTGAAGTTGATTCTCGATCAGGTCAGATTTTAAAACAAAATTAAAATTTTGTCTGGGTTTGACCTTCGGGTTTAATTTTATAATCTAAACGCTAATATTTTAGTGTCGCAGTTCCATTTTTTATTTTTATTTTTAAGTTCTAACTTGTTTTTATTATGTGTTATGGGCAAATTTTTAGTTTTCCTGATTACGCTCCTAAATTTTACTACATGAACTCGTTTAATTACATTTATACTTACATGAGGACTAAAAATTCATCTACGTGATTCTAAGCTTGATGAATGAAGCTAGTAACAAATATGGAGTTTGATAAATTTTAAAAAATCATATATACTCAACGCTATAAAGTTCAATTTCAATAAATACATCCGAGTAATATTTATTTTTTAAGTAAATATCCTTTTTGGTCCTCAGCAAATTTTACGATGCCCGCTTTAGTCTCTAGCAAATAAAAAAACCCATCGTGATCCCTGAGAAATTAAAAATGGATCCATTTAGTTGAGAAATCGTGGTCCAACACAAATTCAAAAAAGACTCATATTAGTCCCTAAAGGGATTAAAATGGGTCCATTTTAAATTTCTTACTGACCACGATGAACATTTTTATTTGTTAGGGACAAAAGCGGACGTCATGAAATTTGTTGAGGACTAAAAAATGTATTTACTCTTATTTTTATTTTTTTTCCTCATAATTTAGTTAAGCTATGTGGCCCACGTAAAGAAAACCTTAGACAATAGTAAACAGTGATGGACCTTACTCAACCCAACCCAATTCAAGATTAAACTGATAACAGAGCTCAAATCCCAGGGCCACCAGGAACCATGATCCATAATAGCATCTAGCCGTTGAATGTTTGAATCGTTTTAGTAGTTGTGGACCAACATTTAATGACCAAAATGCCCATCACAATTCAAATCCCGATACCGCGATCACATTTACTTTCATTGAGAATCAAATCTCATCCGTTCATTGCAGAGTCCCTTTTCATTTCGTCTATTTCAAATGCGATTTTGAAATCAAGCTGAAAACCCCAACCAAAGCCTCACACACAGAGAGGGAGAGAGAGAGAGAGAGAGAGAGAGAGAGAGAGTCTGTGTGTGTGAATGAATGACTTCGATCTATGTTGAACTTAATCATTTCAGTTCAGTATCAAATCCCTAGCAACAACTTGCTGAACTCAGATTGAAGCAGAAAAAAAAAAATCGAAAACAAAGCAACTTCACGATTCCTCAAATTCGTCGATTCGGAATTTTGTTCTTCAATTCCTCTTTCAGGTACTGCTCACACTTGTTTGAAAATGCAAAACTTTCTTGATTCAAATACGAAGCTCACTTTTTATTATTATTTATTTATTTAAATTTTCCGGGATTTTTTTTCTGTATGGTAGAATGCTGAGAGATTTGAAATTCCCACGCCGAAATCCCGACAAACACGAAGAAATGGAGAATGTGGATCCTCAGGATTCATCGGCTGCTGCTCAGAGGGGCGCGGAAGGTTCTAGACCTCCACTGAAAACAATTCAAGAGCCTGATGCGAGTTGTGAAAGCAAGACTGATAGAACTCCTTCGAAGATCAATAAGGGAAGAGGAGGAGCTGAGCTTCGGACTCCGGATAAACACGGAGGAGGAGGAGGAGGAGGAGGAGGAGGAGGAGGATTGGTGTGGAAACAACACCGGTTCGGGTGGGCTCACAAGAACGACGCCGCTTCGTCCTTGTGTGATGATAGGAGAGGATCTGGTGTTGGAAATGTCACTCCTCGGGTGACTCGCAGAGCAGTTTCTAATGCCACGGCTTGTTCCGAGAGCAATTCGACGCAGAGCACTCCAACCAAGAGTGTGACTAAGCCTCCTCCGAGCTCGGTTCGGAGCAAGGCTGATGGAAGCTTCAGTGCTCGTTTGGGGAGCTATGCTGCATTGTATAAAGGGGTTCCGAGTTCGTCTTGCACTCCCACGGTTGTTAATACGGTCGAAGTGCCTCACTTTGATCTCAAAGAAGATTCTTCATTCTGGATTAATCACAATGTACAGGTGAGTGAGCGGGATGGGGTCCAATTTGATAATTGGTACAATCTCTTCTGGATGCTTATTGTGATGTGAATTTTCAACATGCATAGGTTATTATTCGTGTTCGTCCTCCCAATAGCATGGAGAGGAGTATACAGGGCTATAACAGATGCCTGAAACAAGAAAGCGCTCAGTGCATTACTTGGATTGGGCAACCAGAAAATCGATTCACATTTGACCACGTTGCATGTGAAACAGTAGACCAGGTGAGATAACTTTTAAAAGACAGTTTCATGCATAAATTTCTTTGGACGTAGTTATTAATTTCTGTCTCCAATTTGTGATTTTGTAGGAAATGATTTTCAGAATGGCTGGTCTTCCAATGGTAGAAAACTGCCTTTCAGGATACCATAGCTGTATGTTTGCATATGGACAGGTATTGTCCTGAACTAAGCCATTCTTTCGTCTTGAGGTTATCTCATTGTTTTTTTCTGTTAATTGGTACTCTTCATTATATGCAATGCAACATTAAGGCATTTGTTAGCATGTAGATATGCAGATTTCAATGCTCAGGTTCCAATGTAATGCCTATTGGTTGTTATTACGATTCAAAATTTATTCAGAATTTGTGCTATCAGTCACTCTTAAGATTGAGTGCTGTTTACTTGGCTACTTATTTTTCCCATTACCAAACAGTGACACTGCATTAAGTCAAACTTTTTGTGCATCATAAATTGGGAGCTTCAGTTTGTCATTGCTGCATTGATTTATGTCTATAGGTATGTGCAGTACTAAAAAGTTGGATGGGAGCATGTTTTCCTAAACAGAAAAATCTAGCATGGCTTGGCTGTTTCAGTTATTTTATGCAGAACTTTAGCTTTGTGTGCAGGAAATTTGCCACAAAGTTGTCAAGTTTACAATGTATGCCATCTGTTGAGAGATTGTATGCTCTGGTGTTCTGTAACATATTCTGTAGCATAATTCGAAGAAAATAAGCGACAGTGCTTTGATTATGATGGGTAACGAAATTCTTCGTTTTTTTAATGGTAAGATGATGAATGAGTCTGTTTATTTTGCAGACAGGAAGTGGGAAAACATATACAATGCTTGGTGAAATTGATGATTTAGATGTGAAGCCCAGTCCCCATCGTGGAATGACTCCACGTATATTTGAGTTTTTGTTTGCCAGGATCCAAGCTGTAAATTCTTCACTCATTGCTACTTCATTTTTCTATATATATATAACAAGCCTATTTTTATGGTCTGTACAGATCATTAATCCATATTTTTGTTTTTCCTTTCCCCACGAAATTTCCAGGAAGAGGAAAGTCGAAGAGATGAGAACTTAAAATACAACTGCAAGTGTTCCTTCTTGGAGATTTACAATGAACAAATTACAGATCTACTTGATCCCTCATCTTCTAATTTGCTAGTAAGTCTACTCACCACATGACTGTCAAAGCATTTTTAATTAGTTCTCATTGCCCCTTATTCTTAATAGCTGCGGGAGGATGTCAAGAAGGGTGTTTATGTTGAAAATCTATCTGAGTTTGTGGTTCAAAGTGTGAGTGACATTATAAGGCTTCTTATTCAGGTACCAGTCTTTGGGACTATCTTGTTCATTTTGAGGCATCTCCAATTAAATCTCCCTCTCCCTGTTATTTAAATGCATTACATAGATTTGCATTGGCATGCACTTTCTTCCATTAAGTTGTAGTCTCTGACATGTAGGGTTCTGCAAATAGAAAAGTTGCAGCAACAAACATGAATAGAGAGAGCAGTAGGTCCCATAGTGTTTTTACATGTGTAATTGAGAGCACATGGGAAAAGGAGTCTACAACTAATTATCGTTTTGCAAGGTTGAACCTGGTTGATCTAGCTGGTTCAGAAAGGTACGACATAGCTTCTAGATCAGTTGAACCAAATGTGGCTTGGGATATGTATATCTATTTGATAATCAAATGATCATTTATAACAGACAGAAAACTTCTGGTGCTGAGGGCGAGCGTTTAAAGGAAGCAGCTAACATCAATAAATCGTTATCAACCTTGGGGTATTTTTTTTACCTTAATACATAATTTCAATTCTTTAGATATAATTGTCTTATTTCTGCTTTCTCATGAAGTAACTTGTTTTCTCTAATCGTGCTTGCAGTCATGTAATTATGATACTAGTGGATGTGGCAAATGGGAAGCAGAGACATGTCCCTTATAGAGACTCTAGGCTAACGTTTCTTCTTCAGGTTGATATTTACTGGTTTCCTTTGACATCTTCATTCTCAGGATTCTTCTTATTCATCACTATTTTTGGCATAAAATACAGGACTCTCTTGGTGGAAACTCGAAAACAATGATCATTGCCAATGTCAGCCCTTCTATCTGGTTTGTTCATTTGTTTGGAACTATGTTTTCTTCATTGAAATTCTACAAGATGCCAGAAAAGAATGATGGAGCTTTACTCATTTCACTTTTGCAGCTGTGCTGCAGAAACATTGAATACACTTAAGTTTGCTCAGAGAGCAAAACTTATTCAAAATAATGTGAGTGCCATTCTATGATCAATCTGAATTGTGTTGAAAGGAATGAATGTCATCGACCAATGTACATTCTGTGTCTTGTTCTTTTAGGCTGTGGTGAACGAAGATTCTACTGGGGATGTAATTGCTTTACAACATCAAATTCGGCTTTTGAAGGTGATATCAGATATTTCTTGTAGTATAAGCTATGTGTGTCAGTAGTTCATAAATAAACTCAACTGGTGAAATTTTGGGGCAGGAGGAGCTTTCGACCCTTAAACGACATCAGAATGTCTCCAGGTCTTTGTCATTTCCTCTGGCATCTGTTAGAGATATAAAACAATCACTAGAAGATTGTTGCTTAGAAAACGCACCTGATATGGTTGAACAACATGATGATGATATGCTTAACTATGAATCCAAAGGCATCAGAATGTCCCACAAACAGGTATACTTGGATTTTGCTAGGTTAATGAAGGACCAGTCAAATGACAGAATTTATGCTTGATGATTGAACTGATGTTTCTATTATTTTTCCTGCTTTGTCCTTCAAGATATAATTAATTAAAGGTTTTTCCTTTGTAATTCGTCATATGTGTTTTATATGAGATAACTGTCCTAAGTAGAAAGAAAAGTTGCGACTATACTATTAGCTTCTATGGGAGGGTGAGCCTTGGCCAATGGTAAGGCAATGCATTATGACTAGGGGGTCACAAGTTCTAGTTGCGGAAACAATCTCTCTGTTTATACGGCTAAGGCTGCGTGTACATAGGACCTTCCCAAGATCCCATGATGGTGGAAGCCTTGTGCTCTGGCCTGTTAGCTTGTGGCTAAGCTATATCTATTGCTAGAAGCAAGTTATACCATTTTCAGCATCCGCATGAAGTGACTATTATTTTATTTCCCTCACACCATCAATTATTTTATAATATTCAAAATCATTTTTGACCCAGCTGAAATCATTGGAGACAACTCTTGCTGGTGCTTTGAGAAGGGAGCAGATGGCAGAAGCTTCTATTAAGGAACTAGAAGCAGAAATTGAACAATTAAACCATTTGGTATTTCTTTTATGAGGTTTCTTGCTTTTTGAGTTTTACATTTCAACTGTGTTTTCACTCTTTATCCGTAAACCCATTGTTGCTCAGGTTCATCAAAGAGAGGAAGACACTAGGAGCTGCAAAATGATGCTTAGGTTTCGTGAAGACAAAATTCGTAGATTGGAATCACTAATTGCTGGTTCTATTCCTTCGGATACATTTTTGCGGGAAGAGAATAAAGCACTTTCTGATGAGATTCAGATACTTCAGGGCAAACTTGATCGAAATCCTGAAGTTACTCGGTTTGCTGTGGAGAATATCAGGCTTCTAGACCAACTTAGAAGGTGATATATCCTTTTTCCCAAGACAATGAGTAAGTAATGTTCTCTACTTTTTAACAGTTGCTTACCATGACTATCACAGATATCAAGAGTTCTATGAAGAAGGGGAGAGAGAGATTCTATTGGCTGAAGTATCTACTTTGAGGGAACAGGTACACGTGTCTCTAGAATCTAATGCAGAAATAATTTCCCTTCTAGATTCCTTGTTTTGAAGCTTTTATGATTGGAAAACCTTTGTTCTGCAGTTGCTTCAATCTCATGGAAGAAACTCCATACAGGGTGATTCAAATTATGGCATTCAACCTCAGGTCAGTCTCTATAAACTACCTATGCGGTTCATAATTTCCATTCTTTGAACATTTCATTCCCTTTTTCGCTGTCCTCTTTGTTTTTCTTTTTTAGTTCTTGTGATTGTTGCACGTGAAAATACAAACTATGCTGAAATTATGTGTCTAAACCAGACCACAAAAGGATATATTTATACTAGCATGGTATGAAGTACAATCATTATTAGAATAGTAATCAAATCCTAAAATAGCTCCTTAATTAAAGCACTAATTGATTGTTCACATATATGCTAAAATACATATTTCTAACAGTGTCCAATTACTATTGGTGCAGAAAGCTCAGTGCTGCAGGAAAGAAAATGAATCTGTTGATCTAGAGGTTTTATTCCTGCCTTTATAATAAATTTAACATTTTTTCTGTTCAAAATTGTGATGTGTGACCTCTTCTGTTCATGGATTGCAGCTAAGAAATGCCCATCACGAGTTACAGGAATGCAGGCATAACTTAAATTATTGCTTAGAGGAGAATGCAAAACTCAGTAGGTATGATTTTTGTTCTCTTGTTGAAGTTCATTTGGTGATACACAAGCAGATTGGAGCTTTTTGGCGGTAACTATCCTAATTTTTTGTATTGCATATTTATACAGGGAATTAGACTCTTTTCACTCGATGCTGAGCAGCACGAATGCCACAAAGGTAGTGTGGTTATTCTGATATAACATCTCCCGGTTTTACTCTTTACTATATTGTAAAAATCAGTAAGAGGAGGAGAATGCATGTGGTAATTGCATGGAAGGCTTATTATGAACTCAATCATGTTAATATTTTTGGACCTTTTGCAAATTGCAGAATTATAAACTTCCAAGCTAATATATTCACACACATTATGTTCTTTGTCTCCGACAGAATTATTGTTTATTAATCCTCTTGTTGTGTGTGATAGTTCAGTGTTATGTGAAATAATGTTTATTTATTATTATTATTTTTTCAGGTTTCTATAAATGAAGCATCGTGCAAAGCTCAGGCACCTCCACCTAAGATGGTGGTGAAGCATGAACCTCAAATGTTAAAACACACAGATGATATGTTGAATTTGCACCTGGAATTAGATATAACAAAGATCATTCTGAAGGAAGAGAGGGACTACCGTGGCATATTGGAGGAGCAAACAACATGCTTAAATCTGGATTTGCAGATGGCAAAAGACAAGCTTTTGCTGACAAGCAAACAATTAGAAGATGCAGACGATGAGCTGAAAGAGACAAAATCTGTCATTGAAGCTCTTGAATCACAGCAAATTTTATCAATCAAAGAGATAGAAGAGATGAGGAACAAGAACAGCAATTATCTGGAGCTTATGAGGAAACAAGAGCGTGAGATCATGGCCTTGAAGAACCAACTTGCTTCTAAAGAGTTAAAGGATAATTTTCCTTCAAATCATTCAGCGATTGAAAATGAGTCCACCTTACAGGTAAAATTCAGAAGGATGCATGATTCTCTTGAAAAAGCCAAGCAACTGAACCTGTTGTACCAAAGTGATCGTGCATTTCAGATTTCTAATGAGGAAGAGATAGATGAAGTGTGTCGGCAGGCTGAGGCTGAAACTGCTGAGGTAATTGTCTGTATGCAGGAAGAACTTGTCCAGCTCGAGCATCAAGTACATGATAGTCATTTGAAGGAAATAGAAATGAAAGAAAGTATAGTGCAATTGGAAACTGAATTGAAGGAGGTGCAGGGAAAATTGTTTGCTGTTGTTGATGATAACCAAAGTTTAAGGGAAGAGCTTGGGCAGAAAGACCTAGAACTAAGATCCCTGGCTGAAGAATGGGAACTTTTAACCTCTGAGATTGAAGAGATTCTTGCTGATGGATGTGAGGCACTTGTTGATGCCTCTGATGAACTTGGCCATATAAGCAATTCATTTCCTCAAAAAAGGATCTGGATTTCTGAACAAGTTGGCATGGTGGTTAGAAAAATCTCTGAAAAAGAATTATTAATTGATGAACTCAGAAGATGTTTGGAAGATGCAAGCAATAAAAGAAGTGATATGGATTGTATGCTGAAGTCCTTACGAAGTGCAGCACTGGTAATTACTGAAGCTCACCAGAAGGAATGCACTGAAAAAGAGAAAGAAATTCTCCTACTGACATCACAGCTAAGTGAAAAAACATCTACTGTGATAGAGCTGAAGCAACAGTTGATAATGGCAGAAGATCATATCAGCAGAGCATCAAATTGTGCAACTGTGGCTTTTGTTGTTGTGAATAGATTGTCAGAAGTGAATCTTGGTTACCTTGGTGATCTAAAGTTCAAGGATCTTCTGCTTAGTGAATTAGAAGAGACTAATCATAGGAAGGATGCCCTTCTCATCGATCAGTCCACTTCACTTGTACAAGCTGAGAGACAGATAGCAGAATTGCAGGAAAGATGTGACAAATTATGGCAGAAGCTTTCTGAGGAGCAAGAAAATTCTTGTGCTTTGGAACAAAAGCTTGAAGATATTGAAAAGAATGCTATTTCTGAGACAAGGGAGCAATTAGCAACGTTACAAGATGGTGTCTCTTCGATCAGGTCATGCATAGCCTCATTTGCAGACAATTCAGAAGGTCTTGATAATAGAAATTCCTTGGATGTATGCTCGTCATATGGTGATAATGGTGAACCAAAGGTAAGCTACTGTTGATTTCTGATAGATTACTTAGATTCTGTCACATTTATTTCATTCATGGCTGTGGTGAATGGTTTTTGTTTAGCATCTGCTATTTTGGCATTTTTGCAGACAAGTTCTGAAACTCATCAAAACAATGATTCAGATCCACTTTCTGTTGAAGAACCTATAGTTGACCTGGCGGACTTACCCTTTAAATTGGTTGAAAATGGATACAAGAAGAAAGACCAGAAATCAAGAGGAGTTTGCAAGGAAGCATCATGTGAAAGAGATGTTACCATTACACTTTTGAGAAAAGAAATAGAATGTGCTCTTGAAAGCTTAAAAGAAGTGCAAAATGAGATGGCCAGATTACATGAAGAGAAAAAGGAGATGTCAATGTGTGAAAAGCAGAGTCGGCAAAGCATGGAGTGCCTCACAACTCAGATACTTGCCCTACAAGGATCTATGAGCCACTTTGAAGAGCAATCCAAAGTCAAGATTGAAGTACTCATTCACAAACTTAGAGACCTGGAGAAACCTCTGGGAGAAGCTATTTCCCATTGGTATCAAAAGAAAGAGGTAATCCTTTTATGAATTAAATATGATGTTCACTGTGAAACCTCTCCTGCTGTTTTTGTCTCTTCCATTTGCTAATAAAAGAAATTGGTGTATGCTTAATTCTGTGTTGATTATGTGCATTTACTTGCTTTTCTTGTTGTCTGGTGCTTGTCCTCCTTAATGTTGACGGACACTTCAGTTTTAAGGTTAATTGAATAATTTTAACATTCAACAACTTCATAACATGCTCCATGCAGTGGCTTGAACTTGAAGTTGGAAACGCAAAGATCATTACAACTCAGAAAGCTGAAGAGGCATCCTGTATTCTTGCTAAATTTGAAGAAGCCCAATATACAATGAAAGAAGCAGATATTATGATCAATGAATTAATGATAGCTAATGAGTCAATGAAGCTTGATATTGAAAGACTGAAAGAAAGAGAAGTCACATTACTCAATGAGAAGGGTATATTAGTCCGCAAGGTTGAGAGCTTACAAACTGTTGTTGATTTGAAGAATCAGGAGATGGATGACCTTGTTGAATCAAATCTTATAGAAACAAAGGATCTTGTTGTGAAGCTGGATGATGTCATTAAAGAGGTCCAATTGATGACGAAGGAAAATTCCATGTCTATAGCTTGTGATTTAGAGTGCTTCAAGTCTCAATTTTTATATTCCACTAAGTTAATACAACCATGGCTTGAGGAGATATGGTCTCAGATAATTTTAAAAGACTGTGCTATGTCTGTGCTACACCTCTGTCACATGGGTATTCTACTGGAAACAGTAACAGGGATGCATGCAGAAAATGGTTTCCTTTCACATGGCTTGTGTGAATCAAACTCTATCATAAGTGAGTTGAAGGAACACAATTTTAGGACGAGGCAAGAGCTAGACATGTGCAGAATCTTGAAAGGGAAACTGCTGGCTGACATAAAGAACAGTTTTGATCGCATTACTAGGAAGGAAATGGAAGCTGGGGAGATCACCATCAAGCTAAACACTTTTGCCAAAAACATATCAGACCTACAGCTTCAGGAGGAGATGATGTTGCAAAGGTCTAACGAAATGGGATCCCAACTTGCTATGTTGATGCGGGAATTGGATCTAAGTAATACTGACGTTGTGACATCCCTTTTAGATCAAGAGAAACTACTGAAACAGAAACTAGAGGCCATTGAGTCTCAAGCTGAATTTTTTATGGCAGATTGGTATGCGAAAGACTTTGAGTCACTCATCCATACTTCTGAATTAAAAAATATGGCATATTATGTATCTGATATAGAGGAGCATCGTGTCAAGTATTCTACATTAATTGAGAAATTGAAGAAAGAAACAATCTTTTTCCAGGTAGAAACTAAGCTAGCTGAACAAATTTTGATGGACAAGGAAGTTGAAGTTTACACTCTGAAAAGAGAACTTCAGCAGACAAAAGTGGAAAGGCAGGGCCTATTGGTGGAATTGAATCAGAACATCTTAAGGATTACAGAGATGGGAAAAGTAAACAAGATCCTTGAAAAAAATAATGAGTTTCTAAAGGATGTTACTTGTTCTAATAATGCATTGAAGGGTGAACTTGTTGAAGTTAAGGAGGCAAAGAAAAGACTGCTGGATAAGATTCTAGATCTTGAAGCAGATTATGATAAAGTAATTGGTGATCTCATAGAGAAGGATGTGACTTCTGAATTTTCTTTCCATCAGATTTCTTTTCTTCAACATCAAAATACAGAGTTAAAGAAAGTAAACAACATGTTGGAAAATTCATCTTGCAGACTTAAGAATGAGTTGAACCTACGAGATTCAGAGTTAATTAGAATGCAAAGCTTACTACAGGTTGAGTCATCTCGAAAGGATGATGTTACTTGTTCTAATAATGCATTGAAGGGTGAACTTGTTGATGTTAAGGAGGCAAAGAAAAGACTGCTGGATAAGATTCTAGATCTTGAAGCAGATTATGATAAAGTAATTGGTGATCTCATAGAGAAGGATGTGGCTTCTGAATTTTCTTTCCATCAGATTTCTTTTCTTGAACATCAAAATACAGAGTTGAAGAAAGTAAACAACATGTTGGAAAATTCATCTTGCAGACTTAAGAATGAGTTGAACCTACGAGATTCAGAGTTAACTAGAATGCAGAGCTTACTACAGGTTGAGTCATCTCGAAAGGATGATGTAATAAAAGGGTTGCTGTATGATATGAGCTTACTGCAGGAATCCGCATCTATCAGTAAAGACCAAAAGGATGAAATTGAGGAAATGGTGGCTACAATGGAAGCATTAGAAGTGGAGCTTGCTGTTAAATCAGGTGAGCTTGCTGACATTGCTGTGAACTGTCAGTCACTTGAAGCTCAGTTGCAGGACAAATCAGACATAATTACAGCTCTTGAGTTGGATCTCTCAAAAGAACGTGAGGCTCTAAAGTTGCAAGTCAGAGAAAATCAAGAACTTAGAACTCATATTGAAGAGACCTTGGAAGCAAGAAAACTAGCTGATGATGAGCTAACAGAAAGAAGGAAGATAACAGAGAGCTTAGAAGATGAAATCTTGGAAATGAGCAGTGTTCTTAGCCAAATGAATAATTCAATTAAAAATATGAGTAGTGATCTCGATGAACTCACTATTGAGAGGGATCAACTTCAGGGTCAGATAATTTGCCTCAAAGAAAGGCTTGGAAAAGCTGAAGCACAATCAGAAGCTAATGAAGGAATCGCTCAAGAAGCTCAGAAGGTAATGCTTTTATTGATCAATAATGCATCATGTTTTCCATCAATGACATTAATTGTGAATAATCAATGACTCAACATGAAGAACTCTGTTCTGTAGTTTCATATCTTAAGGAGTCGCTGAATATTTCAATATATATTTTTCCATGTCAAATGATATCGCAAGCCATATCAATTTGGGATTTGTACTTTGTACAGTTTGTAGAAATTCCTAGCTTCACACATTTTTCAACTTTGGTGTCTGTACATCAATGACATTAATTGTGAATAATCAATGACTCAACATGAAGAACTTTGTTCTGTAGTATCATATCTTAAGGAGTCACTGAATATTTGTATCTTCAGCATCTCTAACATGTCAATATATATTTTTCCATGTCAAATGATATAGCAAGCCATATCAATTTGGGATTTGTACTTTGTACAGTTTATAGAGATAGGAAGCTTCACACATTTTTCAACTTCGGTGTCTGTACAACGTTATGCAATTTAGATTAACAATTAAGAGAGCGGAAGTTGAGACTCAGAATTCCGTAGAGATTGATGTACCAAAGGAAGCAAAACATACAGTACAATCATGATGTTTATAACCTAACATTAAATGTTTGATCTTTGAAAAATAATTTTCCCTCTGGTCAATTTTTTGCTTTTGCACTTAGGATAAACTCAACAATCAAAGGAAAAAATTGTGAACCAGCTGAAAGATTGTTTTCTTTCTTGTTTTCTATCTGAAATTTGTTACAATAATGGCAGATGGCAGAAACAAGAAAAGTTTATGCTGAAGACAAGGAAGCAGAGGTGAAACTTCTAGAGAGATCTGTTGAAGAGCTGGAAAACACTGTAAATGTATTAGAAAACAAAGTGAGTTTTCATTGTTTTTGGTAATTTGATAGGAAGCTTGTCTACCTTCATAGACTTTACACTTCATTGTTTGTTTTGGTCAGGTTGACATCATTAAAGGAGAAGCTGAACGACAACGGCTGCAAAGAGAAGATCTAGAATTGGAGCTCCACGCATTAAAAGATCAGATGCAAAATGTTAAAAATGCTGATGGTGACATGAAAAGGTTGAGCTTCCTTTTGTGTATATATGGCTTCTATATCATAGACAAATGCGGATCTGCATGCTAGTCCATAAATCTAATACTATAAAGTATTTTTCCTGTTTCTATTTAAATTTCTGTAGATTTTTGGATGAAAAAGAGAAAAGCCTTGAAGAAGCCCTAAATCACATACAGGTTCTTAAGAGGGATTCAGCAGAAAAGGATGCAGAGGTAGGATTTTCAAACCACGATTAATTATGTCTTTTGGATTGAAATTTCTTGCAATAGTAAAATTTCAATTTTTCTTGGCTTGTTTCTGACAGATCGCACAAATGAAAGATCATATTTCGGAGCTAAATTTGCATGCTGAAGCACATGCACAGGAGTACAAGCAGAAAGTTAGTAATTATAGTAATTGTCTTGAATAAAATATTCTTGGATGTCATATTAGTTTTGATTTAAAGCTCAGCGGTACCAACTATGCCCATAGAGCTCAATATTGTATTCTTTATTCTCACGCTAAATATAATCTTAAATGTATCATTTCTTTAAATCAGTTCAGAGCATTGGAAGCCATGGTTGAACAAGTCAAACCTGAGGGGCTTTCTACCCATTGCACAAGTGCTTTGTCAAACAAGTCTGAGAAGAATGCCACCAAATCTCGAGGTTCTGGTTCTCCTTTCAAATGCATTGGGTTGGGCTTGGCACAACAGGTAAAATATGAGAAGGTTGAAGAGCTGTCTGCTGCAAGACTGCGCATTGAAGAACTAGAATCCCAGGCAGCGTGCCGACAGAAAGAGGTAGGCTTTTCTCTTCAACTGCATATTCTACAGTTGTTGGCTTTTGCTTATGGGCTTCAATTCGTTTCTTCCTTTTCCTTCTCCAGATATTTTCACTGAATGCTAGATTAGCAGCTGCTGAGAGCATGACGCATGATGTAATTCGAGACTTACTTGGAGTAAAGTTGGATATGACCACCTATGTGGTACTCATCTATTTTAAGCAATTTTTCTTGGCATGCATTTGTATTTTTGTATTTCATGTTTGTGATACAGAAGAGGAAAAACAAATAGTTGTCATGTAATTTATGGTTATGAGCATATGGTAAAAATGAAAAAAAAAATATTTTTTTACAAAAGATCATTTAGAGTTCCATTTGCCGAATGGCACTCATCTTTAATCTTTAATTTTCTTTTGTTAATATAGTCACTATTGGATAATCAGCAAGTGCAGAAGATTACAGAGAAAGCTCAATTTCTCACTTTAGAACCTCAAGAGAAGGTAGTCTAAACTTTGAACTAGATTGCGCTGTTATCATGCTGAAGCTTAGTTAAGCTGGGTTTCTTGCTATATTCAGGAACAGGAGGTTATTAAACTAAAGAAGCAGCTGAATGAATTTATTGAAGAGCGGCAAGGGTAATTAATTTCATAGTTTTATTTTTTGAGTTGAGAATAGATCTCATGTCAAACTAATATTCGCTTTTCTTTCTTGCACACGCACTTCTTATGATTCTCAAACCCTACCTGTCAGATGGCTGCAAGAAATGAATAGGAAACAAGCCGAATTGGCAGCTGCACAAATTGCATTGGAAAACCTTCGGCAGCGAGACCAGTTACTAAAAACAGAAAATGAAATGTTAAAGGTAGAAGATTAAAATAATTTTCCCCCTCTTTTTCTATATTGATTTTCTCTTTTATTTCTAATTGGCTGGCTTTGGGGGTACTTATTTTGTGAAGATGGAAAATGTAACTAAGAGAAATAAAGTAATGGAACTGGAGGAAGAAATGAAGAAGCTGTCTGGACAGCAAAACCTTCAGCAACGTATTCATCATCATGCTAAAATTAAGGTAAGATATTATCATTTTACTTACGTCGAAGCTCAAGTAGGTGTGTTTGTGCTTCCTGCATTATTTTTGCTGTGCTAAAACTCAAAATATTGACAACGTACTATATCCAAAATAATAATAATAATAATAATTAAATATTGACAGGTTATCTTTAATTTTATAATTCCATTTCACTGAAATCAATCTTGAGACTGATCGTGGAATAATGCAACAGGAGGAAAACAACAAGTTAAAGATACAGAACGAAGAACTCAGCACAAAGCTACGGAGGGCAGAGATCTTCCATTCGCGTGTCAAAGAAGACGTTGCTCGTCTTCGTGCTTCAGCTGGGGCGAAACCATGGGTTGATTTTGATGAGGAGCAACGTCTGATGATAAAACTGAAGGTTAGTTACCTAAGTAATATATTGTGCTCTAAGTCGCCAAATATAATGGCAGTTTAAATATTTGAATGAATAATGCCACAGGAGATCGAGGAAGAGAAAGTACAATTAGCACAGCAATTACTGAGATTGTCCACCAATGTTTTGAAGGTAAGCGACAATGATTTGTGGTTCTTGGTGTACCCCTTGTCTCCCAACCTCTCCAATGCAATAAACAAAGGCAGGAAATAGTTTAACAAGATACTAACCCACAGTTATGCTTTACTTCCAGGCTGCTGGAATAGCAAAACCAATGTCGGATGTAAATCCTTCTATTGCTGAGGAGGCCCTAGAGGAGCTCAAGAATAAGATAACTTCTCTTGAAATGGAACAACGGGATTTGAAGTTTAAGGTATGCACAGAATACACGAGTAGAGTGAATTTGAATACCAAGTTTTCTTTATCTAATTTTAAAGAACTAACAAAAAAGGATGATGCTTACTCTTGCACAGAATAAAATTATAAGTGAAAGGATTCGATTATCTGAGCTCATACCACAAGCTTCTCCTTTGAACTCAAGAGCTGGGGAGAATCGTATAACTCCTCCAAGGGCATCCCAAGCTCCTTTCCTTTCCAATTTTGATAGATAGTAAAGCGTGTTAGCTTGCAGATAGCTATTTGTATTATTGTGTTTAGCCATTCATGCTATATATTCTTTGATTATCGTGTAAATAACAATGTATGTACAGTTCAACTAGAATTGTTATTTATAAATGAGTCAGGCCTAATCTTGGAAGGTTAAAATCAATGTGTTTAAAAAAATTCCTTTATTTTTTAAAACTCTTCGTATTAGAACCAATTTTCTACCTAAGTTTTGAACTGACTTATTTTTTGTATAAAATATGTGTAACTGATATTATCTTGTGCTATTTTAACTGATATTATTTCATGTATATTACATAGATGTATTGATGCTCCATTCTTCCGTTCATGATTTTTCTTTGGTAAGTGGTGTGTTGGTGCATCTTTAATTTATTGTAACCAGTAATGAGTACGTTTGTTATATGGTTATTCTAAAAAATATTAATATTAATATTTTATATACGAGTACGTTTGATTTATAATATATTAAAATATTCACCTGAGAAAAAAGGATATTTGTCATCATCAGTTGAAACTACCAGCTTTTTGAAAGAAAGAAAGAAAGGAAATTTGGCATATTTGTGTTAATTATAAATCAAAGAGAGGTCTGAAAAGGGTCAAAGGATGAGAAAAAATTTGCACTCGATAGGAAAAACGCAAAATCTGAATCTGTTGTTTCAAATTTGAGTTGGCAGCATGCCAGAACACAATGATTTATCTAAGCATTCTTAATTCATGTTACTTCAGTTTTTATTTTATTTTATTAAAGTTGATTCATTTATTTTATTTTTTTCATTTTTTGGGATCAAAGATCATTTCGTTAATGGGAAAAATATTTCTCCTGCGATAAAATTATTTTCTGCAGTTGTCCTGAAATTAGAAAATAAAAATAAAAGATATTTTAAAAATTTAATTTTCCTCTTATATAATAAATTTTACTAAAACACCATTCATTTTTATTTCAAAACACCTCAACGACTTTGTTTTGGATGGCTCCAGCCAATAACTTTCAAGACTTCTTTTATGTTAGTATCTTTTTGTTACCATCTCAACTTTCATGTGATTGAGCTTCAACATGAGGCCTTAACCTATTTACCTTCCCAATTATCAGCCGCTGCGCAGAGCTCAAAAGTTTCAATTCAATTTCCACCCAAACCCTAACCCTAATTTCAACTCATGCGTTCATCTCCACCAATGTTATGGTGAATTGCATGCGGATTCGCATTAATGAGTATGTAACACATCCTCCTCCATTGTACCAAAATCACCCCAATTTGAAAGCTTTGAATATAACCCTTATTTCTCCAGCATCCTTTTTAGAAATTCCTGTCCCTAAGCTTAACCCATCTAGCAAAACATAAATTACTCCATGATTTCGCAAGCATCAATCTTATGATCATACTCAATCACCTTGAACATGCTGATACAGAAATTTGAAAAAGAATCTCACGAAGTCTCCGTTAGGGATTATAAGAACTTTCTATTGTTGATGATATTAACAAAACCTGTTCTGACCCATATGCAGGAAGATTTAGGGGGAAAAGGAGCCTTGGTAATATCACTTCTTTCTTCATTTTATCTTCCTTCCAATGGACCATATTTTCGGTGTAGGTATTCCCTTTCCCAAAAGGGAAAAAAATATGGAAAGAAATAATCATAAACACAAGATAGTATAAATATATTCTTGGGCTTCCTCCTTCAATGCTAAGCCCAAGCCCATTGAGGGTTTTCTTAAAAACCATAACCCTAATTTTCACCTCCTCTATATATACTCATTAGTTGTGGGTGGAGGCTAGGTCAGATTTGAGAGAACAAATTTGAGAGAAAATTATTTGATTGTTTGAGCAAAACTTTATGTTTTGCATTTGAGAGATCTCTAAAGAGAGTTTGAGTGAAACATCTCTAGGGTAGTTTGATTATCACCATTGTTTGAGAGGTTGAGTTAACCACCACATTGGTGTATTTGATTCATTGTAACCATTATTTTCATAGTGGATTTTTGATCTGGACTAGGTCCCGTGAGTTTTTACTTCTTCATTGTAGAAGGTTTTCCCACGTTAAATCTGGTTGTGTTCTTCTTCTCTCTCTCCTGTTTTGTGATTTTTCGTTCTTGATATTTCCGCTGCGCTACCCGACCTGGTAAAGTTCAGGTTGAGGTATTGCCGAGATCCAAGATCAGGATCTTGTTGATTGACTTCCGCAAAAATGCCCCTGAGACGATCTGAGGGAACCGATTTTTTCCCAACAGTGGTACCAGAGCACGAGTTCGACGGGTTCTGAGGAGGACGAGATGGAGACCAATGGCATAACTATGATGGAGATATGTTCAAGTTGACCGCAGATAACTTCACTTATTGGAGACCGATGATGGAAGATCATCTCTACTGCAAAGATTTACATGAGCCCATTATCCTTGATGAGAGACCGGCAGGCAAGACAGATAAGGAGTGGGAGATCCTGAGTCGGAAGGCGGTAGCCACGATCAGGAAATATATTGATAAAAGCCTCTTTGAACACGTGTCCGAATTCACGAACGCGTATGAGTTGTGGACGAAATTAGAGTCCATGATTCAGAAGAAGACTCCCAGGAACAAAGCACACCTGGTTCGCTGACTTGTTAAGCTTGAATACAAGGACGGCATGAGCATGATTGAACACCTGAACACCTACAAAGGTATTGTGAATCAGCTGTCAAAGGCTGATATGAAAATTGATGAAGAATTGCAAGTATTGCTGCTGTTGAGCTCGCTGCCAGAAAGCTGGGATACTCTGGTGGTGACCCTGAATAACTCGACTCCAGATGGAAAATTGAAGATGGATGTCGTGACAGACAGCCTCCTGGGCGAAGAATCCAGGAGAAGAGAACGAGGTACTTTGAGTACGTCTGAAGCCAACGTTGCTGAGAACAAAGGGAAATCCGACTCCCGCGGTAGAAGCAAAAGCCGAGGTAGAGGTCGTGACAGACGAGACAAGTCCAGAGGTCGGTCAAAGCCGAAATATGAGTTGAAGTGCTTTTACTGTGGAAAGACAGGCCATAAGAAGCCAGACTGCTGGACCCTACAGAATGATGAGAAGAACGGCTCTGTGAAGCCAGATCAGATTATTCCCAAGAATAGGGAAGACAAGAGCACCACTGCGGTGGCTGCAAACCCTGATGCCGATATATTCCTCCTAGGTGAGGATAATTATTTGAATGTTGCATATGATGACTGCACCTAGATTATTGACTCCGGTGCCTCCTTCCACGTTACTCCACACAAAGGTTTTTTCTCCTCTTATCGAGGTGGTGATTTTGGAGTCGTGAAGATGGGAAATCAAGTGACCAGCAAGATTGTTGGTGTCGGTGATGTAACTCTGACCACAGATGTCGGATGCCGACTTGTGTTGAAAGATGTGAGGCATGTTCCTGACATGCGTTTGAACCTAATCTCGGTAGGAAAATTTGATGATGTCGGGTTAGTGAACTACTTTGGTAGTGTTAGATGGAAGCTGGCCAAGGGAAACTTGGTCGTGGCCCGAGGTAAGAAGGAAGGTTCCTTGTACGTGATGCAAGCAAAGATCAATGGAGGAGAAGCCAATTCTGTTCGAGATGAACCTAGCTTGGAGCTATGGCATAAGCGCCTCGGCCATATGAGCGAGAAAGGGCTACAGATCCTGAACAAGAAAGGATTACTGATCAGGTTGATAGGCCAAGCGTTGGAGAGTTGCACGCATTGCTTAGCTGGAAAGCAGCACCGAGTTTCTTTTGTGAGACCGGATCAACCAAGACGACGTAGGTATATTCTTGACCTCGTCCATACTGATGTCTGCTCCATGTCGGAAAGATCCCTTGGAGGAGCTCAGTACTTTGTTTCATTCATTGATGACCATTCCCGCAAAGTGTGGGTGCATTTGTTGAAGTCTAAAGACCAAGTACTCCAATCATTTAAAGAATTCCATGTTATGGTTGAAAGGAAGACTGGCAAGAAATTGAAGGTGGTCCGATCTGATAATGGTGGTGAGTATTGTGGCCCATTTGATGCATACTGCAGAGCGGCCGGGATCCGACTTGAGAAGACGCCCCTCAAAACTCCACAGTTGAATGGACTGGCTGAGAGGATGAACAGAACTATTGAAGAGGAGGTCTGAAACATGTTATCCAATGCCGGATTGTCGAAATCATTCTGGGGAGAAGCCGTCAAAATCGCTGTTGACTTGATCAACCTCTCACCATCACGGCCACTTGATGGAGAAATTCCAGAAGAAGTCTGGACAGGTCAGAAAGCGGCCTATAATCAACTGAAAGTGTTTGGATGTCGAGCTTTCGTGCATATCCCTAAAGATGAAAGGGCCAAACTTGATGCAAAGACTAAAGAATGCATTTACCTTGGTTCGCCGAGATGTGAGTTCGGGTTCCGACTTTGGGATCAATCAATAAGAAGATCGTGAGAAGTGTGATCTTTCATGAGCATGAGAACATTCATGACATCTCGAAGCCCAAAGTCCGGGTTACTGTCAGACGATAAGAACCCATCCCTCCTGTCCAAACTGAAGCAGGGGGAGAAAATCAAGAAAATGAAGAAATTGATGATCAGCAACAAGCTGATGATGACCAAGACACTGAGGTCCGAGTTGATGATGAGATCCGGAATGAAAATGATGAACCGGGTTCTCAAGCTGAATAACAGTCGAGATATCCAACTCGAGAAAGAAGACCCTCTACGAGATACTCATCTGATGAATACACTGTTGTTGCTGAAGACGGTGAGCCACAGAGTTATGATGAGGCTAAAACGAGCTCAGAGAAAGAAGAATGGAAAAAGGCAATGCAGGACGAGATGAAGTCTCTGCACGAGAATCAGACTTATGAGCTGACCGAGTTGCCTAAAGGAAGACGAGTTTTGAAAAATAAATGGGTCTACAAGATTAAGAATGAAGAGAACGGGAAAAAGCCGAGATACAAAGCCCGGATTGTGGTGAAAGGCTGCAATCAGAAGAAAGGAGTAGACTTTGAGGAGATTTTTTCTCC